GGGTTAATTATGATATTACCTAAATAAATGTTATATGTGTTCATAATTATGTTTAAAATGTATTTAAACATGTGATTAGCCAACATGGTTAAGTTTGTATGAAAGGAATTAATTGTTTATGCATGAAATATGTTATGAGGAATTATATAAAATGCATGTTTGCTTGAAGCGTAAGAGGAGCACAAATGAACATTATTAACTTAATTATATGATGATTAAGTTGATACGTATAAGGTTTGAAATGGCGGTCAACGGAAACGTTGACCGATGCATAATGGATTAATTGATACCGGATGATATTAGTTAATTATGAATTTATATAAACGCATGACTTTGCATGGATTGTGATACATAAGCTTTATGTATTGATTTAGCTAGGAATGAATAAATATGATATAGATCCTATCTAGGTTGATAGGAGGTTGATCATAGGATTATAAATTGGTGGAGGACCCTAGGACTTAAAAGTCCTTAACACTCATATTTTGGTGGAGGACCCTAGGACTTAAAAGTCCTTAACACTCATATTTTGGTGGAGGACCCTAGGACTTAAAGTCCTTAACACTCGGATTATAAATTGGTGGAGGACCCTAGGACTTAAAGTTCTTAACACCCGGATAATAAATGGTGGAGGACCCTAGGACGAAAAGTCCTTAACACTCGGATTATAAATTGGTGGAGTACCCCAAGGATTATGATCCTCAAAACTCATAGGTTATGGTATATAAATATGGGCAAGGAGGAGTCCTATACACTCATAGGCATATGGGTGGGTTGGGGTTTTTAGTCAAGAATATTGACTATTACTATTTTCCCAAATAAAACGGTGATCTACGGATCGGGTATTTTCCAAGTGTATATGTACTAATAAGTATTTCTTAACTTGGGGGGAAATATTATTTATATAAATATCACCCTATGTTTGGGTCTTATACTTGAAACGCTAGTTATTCTATATTTAGCCTGCTACTCGCTCGGTACTTGTACTGACCCCTTCGGGGGGCCCCACCATTTTCAGGTTGAAGCTAGGGCTTGCTACCTGCACCTTCTTACGGGTGAACTTAAATCAAGGAAGACGTGGTTCGTGCTTCCTTATTTCCTTTCAAACTACCAAACACTTGCTCATGGATATTTGTTTTACTATAAACTATTTTGGGCCTGTGAGCCCATGTTTTGGCCGGTTGTGGCCCATGCTTTACCGTTGAATATTTCCGCTATTCATTGGGTTGAATGTGATGTTGTTATGTATGTTTACTACTGAGTATGGATGGATTATGTTCATAGACGCCTTGTATGATTAAGTCGCGTTGACTTGCGGGTGACGTAACTTGGTCATACGGCGGTTGTACACACGCTTAGATGTGGTCTGGGGCGTGACAACTATTCATATAAGTATCACCCTATGTTTGGGTCTTATACTTGAAACGCTAGTTATTTTATATTTAGCCTGCTACTCGCTCGGTACTTGTACTGACCCCTTCGGGGGGCCCCACCATTTCAGGTTGAAGTTAAGGCTTGTCATCTACACCTTTGCACGGGTGAAGAGAATCCAGAGGAAGACGTGGTTCGTGCTCCCTCTACTATTTCAAAAGATAAACTATGCTCATGGATACTTTTGTATTAATACATTGTTTTGGCCTGCGAGCCTACGTTTTGGCCATGTGTGGCCCACAATTGATTATTGAATATTTCCGCTATTCAACTATTCTAAACTGTGATGTTGTTGTGTATGTTTACTACTGAGTATGGATATATATTATGTTCATGGACGCCTTGTATGATTAAGACACGTTGACTTGTGAGTGGCATTACTTGGTCATACGGCGGTTGTACACGCGCCTAGATGTGGTCTGGGGCGTGACACTGTGGTGCTACCGTACCACGCCGAGGAGGGCGACGGGTGAAACAAAGGCGCCCACAGAGGTCATCATACCCAGTCGACGGGTGGAGCGCTATGAGCCAGAGGCCAATGAAGAAAACCTGAAGATTGATCTCCATCTGATCTAAGAAAGACGAGAGCAAGCCTTCATCCGGGCAGAGAACTATCGGTGTCAAGTAAAATCATACTATGACGCGAAGGTACGTTCTTGGGAATTCCAGGTGGGGGACTATGTCCTTCACCGAAGAGAGGCGAGTAAGCCGACGAAAGGTGGAAAGCTGGCACTCAAATACGAAGGCCCCTACATCGTCAGTGCTGTAATCAAGCCCGACACCTACAAACTAAAACACCCAAATGGGTCTAATGTACCACGAACATGGAATGTACATCACTTGGTGAAATTCTATCAATAATACGGGGACAGCGCAGCCGGCAAAGCCCTCACCTTCCCACGGATTGTTGGTCGAACGCCACCCTCGGCCTCGAGCCACTTATCAATAAAAGTTGTATTCTACTTACTTTTCTAAAAAGTTCAAGGAAATGATACTATACTACACCGACCCCTCAGAGCAAAAATGCTCCGGAAAGGTCGACAGAGCACATCATTTCGGCCCCTTAGAGCGAGACGCTCAGGTAAAGCCGACGGTGTCCCCAGGACGAAGGGCCCGCAAAGATCCCACGTCTTGAAATGGGAAGCTCACCGCGTCATCCATTCGCGAAATCGCAGGACGACAGGTCTGAAATCATGGCTGAGGTGACAAAAATCCCCCAACTCAGGGATGAGGAACGGCAGTCGTCGATAACCGACCAAAAGCCTTAGCCCGCGTCATAAATAGGAGACGGGACCTCCCTGAGACCACAGGACGATCCAGTAGGACTCCTTACCGGCCGAAGGACTATCGACCCCCTTGGCCGAAGCCTGAAAGAAGGATACTCACTCCTCGCTCAAAGAAGTAAAGAGGAAGAATATAAAAGAGGGACAGCCGAAGGACCGTGCATTTTCCGGCCTAAAGCGATATCCCCAAAAAAAATAAAAGAGGGACAACCGAAGGACCGTGCACTTGCCGGCCTAAAGCGATATCCCCAAAAAATAAAAGAGGGACAGCCGAAGGACCGCGCACATGCTGGCCTAAAACGATATCCCAAAAAAAAGAGGAAAGCTGATGGACCGTGCACTCGCCGGCCACGAGCAATAAAAATAAAATCCCCAACATTGAGTACGTATCAGGAAAATACCACGTATTATGGACGAAAGCGTCCATACAAAAAAAAAGAGAGAATAAACTTGGACAAAATGACCAAGGAAAACTCCTGTGGCTCACAAGGGCACCACATAGCCATCATCAGCCACTCATGAAGGACACAATCACCCAAGTCTGTCCAACACTTGGAACAATTTCCAAATACTTGAAAAAATTCCAAAGGGGCACCCCAGGTGATCGTGTCCACGTCACCGTCATTGGGATCCTAAAGCCGAACAGAGAACCAACAACTCTCATCATCCACATCAGAATGAACCGGCCACATACTCTAAGCTAAACACTTAGAGATTTCCACAAAAAAGTGGGACACCAAACATTGCAAAGACGAAGAAGACATTCCCCCCCTCAGCCGAGCAAAGAGTAGGACCCCTCGTCGGCCACAACTACAAGAAGCAGGTTCATGAGCTCTTGTCTAACACTTGGAAAAGTTGCAAATGAAATAAAAAGGGATGGGGGATGACACAAGACGAAGCGGACACTAAATTGCCTAGAGTCTAACACTTAAAAGAAATTCTAAAGTGCTGTCAAAAGCAAGGGGTGTTCATTATGGACGAAGCACGAACCAGAGGAAACAACCAAAGAGTGATTATCCAAGTCCCAACTTAAACTCTTGGAAAAATTTCGAAGTGAGAATAACAAAAGCAAAAGGAAAGGCAAGACGAGGAGGACGTCGTAAACACTAAAGCCGAAAGAGAACAATATTTTCATTCATCAAAAGGTACATGGGGGCAAAACGGCCATTATAAAATAAGGGTGCAACAGCACTGGCCTAAACTAAAAAAGGAAAAAGAGGGTCGGCCGATCAATTGTCCTGGGCGACCTCATCAGCAACATGCCCCACATCGGCTTGCTCGACAGCAGCGTCGGCGCCCTCCTCCGTCCCCACATCAGCACTGGCCTCGGCTACCGCAGAGATAGCGGTGTCGGCCAAGACGTCGTCGTCGGACCAATCCGGCTCACCAATGGAGGAGCTGAGTATCGGGGCCTGCTTCTCAGAAGAGGGGAGTTTCGTTTCGGCCTCAGGGTCCTTCATTAGCTGGGGAAGCTTCATATTCTTCCTGGCTCATTTCTGGGTAAGCTTCAGCTTTTTGAAAGCACGGTGCAGCCTCCGGTAGATTAGCCGTTGCATCCTCTGGTGGCCCATATCGTAATATACAGACATCTCCCTTTGAAAGTAGTCTTGGCCAGCAGGGCAGTTCTGACCCCAATCTTCTAGCCGGTCCGCCACAACCTCGTAGCACCAGGGCCGACGGTCTTCTGCCTTCCAGCCTTCGGCCAGAAAATTCTCCACTGCGGCATCAGCAGCCTTCTCGGCTTCAGCTTGGGCTATCGCGGCGTCCTCGAATCGGAGCAGGGCCTCGTCGCGACCCTTCAGCGCCTCATCCTTTACTCTCAGGGCGTCATCCCTGTCGGTCGCCACCTAGAGATAGGCCGCATCGGCCTCATCGACCCTCTTCTTCAGGACCCCCACTTCGTCCCGGAGCCGGTCCAGACACGCCATGGCCTCCTCGGCCGAAGCAGCTTTTTGCTCAGCCTCTTTCAGCCGAGCAATCTCTTGTTCCTGCCTCTTATGGCTCTCCATCAGCATAAGGGCCCTCTGCAATGAATGAAAAGGTTAGGACGATGCAGACACTTATGACATCAAGAAGTGTAAAAAGGGTAAAGTACAAGGAACTTACTTGGACGACAAGGTCCATCCCACCGTCATAAATCCTGACGGGGCCAAGCTTCTTCAGATAAGCCCGGTCCTCGACCGGGACAACTTGGGCAAGCACGTCATGGCCGTCGACGACGTCGTTAAAAATGCCACCCTTGACAGGGTACTCGACCTCAAGCTTGTAGGTCCCCACGGCCAACTCCTTTCTGGCCCTCTTCTTCCGGGAGTCCTGGCCGAGAGGGGGCGGCTTGGACATAGCAGTCGACGAGGGGGCAGAAACCATGTCGACAACAGCAATGGCATTAGAGCCCCCAACATCATCGGCCGGCATAGTTGCAACCCCGACATCATCCGCATCTGAACTCGACTACGCGCCACTTGCAGCGGCCAGCTTCGCGGGCTCCCTGGCGGCCATCTCCTCCTTCGCCTTCGCCTTAGCAAGGGCCATGACGGATCTACGGTCCATCACAAAATCTGCATAACAAAAGAGGACAGTTAGCAAAAGAAAAACAAATGTAGACGAAGACGCCAAGGAGGGTATTACCATCAGCTTCGGCGGGCACGCCTAAATCCGGGTCGTCGGTTTCCTCAAAAGTGGTGGTCATCCTCGGCCATATTTCGGTGTCACTCTCCTTGTCACCATACACAAAGTACCTCATGAAGCAAATCGAGGTCATCTTATACTCTGTTATATACTCTTTCACACTCCTCGGCCCTCCTTTCAAGAATGCTGTTACCTGAGCATCCAAGATGCTACTCTTCGGCACATCGTGGAGGTTAAATCTCTCGTCATGGCCGACGAAGGGAAATTCGGTGCCACCCTCGCCCAACGACACAAAAACGAACTTGCTTTTCCAACCATGGATAGATGAAGGAAGGCCAGTAAAGCTCCTCATCTTCGGCAGCTGTTGGAGGGTGGCGTAACTAGCGCAATTCTGGTGGCTGTCTCGGCCTATCTGGTATAGGTTCATGAACAGAGCCGTCGTCGGCCTAAAGTCCAGCTCATCACAGCGAAGGAGGAAGCCGATGATGAGTGAATAGCTAAGCCCGTGATGAAAGGATGAAGTGGAAATCTAAGCCCCTTGGCAAACTCATGGGGTATACTCCAAAGTACCCCGGAGGTGGATTCAGCACATGGTCTGTCGGCTTGGGGGCCCTAACCCTTCCATACGGCCCCACATACATCTGGGCCACCAGGTAATCAGCCGCGCTGCTCTCCGGCTTGATCAAGTAGATATTCGTGAGGTCCAGATAGGAGTAACCTGGACCCTTCTTCGGCCGACACCTTCTCGTCGGGGCGGTCCCCTTAACGGCAGAAACCGGCTTCGGGCAGGGAATTGCAGCTGAGGTAGAGGCTCCGTCCACAGCACGGGAGACCACTACGTCCTCACCCTCAGACGACGAGCCGGACGTTTCGTCTTCACCTTCACTACCCTCCTGCTCCCCTGACTTGAAGGAGCTCAGGTCCTCTATGTCCTCGCAACACTCCTCTACTACCCGGTAATCAAGGGATCTAACGGAGGCCACATCATCATAAGGGTAGTATTCGTCGTCCAAAGATTTCATCATAACAACTAGCTAAAGCCTATAGGGGGTTACTTTGGATCTAAGGGTGATTCTCCACTAACACTGGATCAAGGCCCTAGGAAAGCAAATTATGCAATAAATCGGAAGAAGGTGTGATGAAGTGACCTTTGAAGATATGAAGTTTTCCAGTCTCGATCGACCCCAACTGGCAACCCAAAAGCTCTTTTGAAATTCTTCACTTTGAAAAAATGATTTTAAAAACGAAGACTAGACCGGGACTTGGAAAACTAAGTTGTCCACCAGATCAGACAACGGCCAGAATTGAGATTGGAGCGGGGCCGAACGGAAGCAGGACAAAGTGTAGCTCCGACAAATTCATTACAACAGTAATGCAGCGTCCACACATTTCAAAATTGTAAAACTAATAAAACTTCTTTAATTCGATTTTCAAACAATTTTATTTGCGTGTTTTACCTTTTCCTCTAGATTTGCATTATTTGAATTTGAAGAATATTTGAGATGTGAAAAGTATTTCCCAAGTTTAAGGTTGAAAAGGGCGAGACGTGATGAAAAATAGTGACTACTAATCCATCCTAGGAGATCAATTTGCTGTCTGGATGTGTACTTATTATCCTGGGAACACTTCACAACGGCACGGAAAGAATCACTCACCCTTCAAAACTCAACAAATGGCCTTCCTCTTCACTCTCTTCCTCGCCCTCCCGAGAAGAACAACTTTACTGCAGAGAAGAACTATTGTCTAACAATGCAAAACCAAATTCCCAAATCAAATACCAACCAGAATACTCTCAGGATGCAGAGCAGCCACGTATCAATTTCCGACACCGAGTCTCAAGCTAGTCAGATCGATTCCTTCCACTCGCCTCTCCGTTACGATTCGCCCCTCCGCTCCGACGAACCCTTCTCCGACCCTGATCACACTTCTCTTCCACCCTCTTCTAAGGCGGTTTCTGCAACAGACAGACGCCCCTCTCCGCTCTATTACCCGCGGAAGTCATCTCCCTCGGAGCACCTCAGCCAGCCTCCGACTCCCACACTGCCGCCGTCCATAGACCGATCGCCGCCGAAGGTGTACTACAGTAAGTCCCGTGCAGAACCTGTGGACACGAAGGTGGGGTCGGTTAGGGGTAACAATGGTCAGGCGGAGGTCGGTGAGCGTAGGTTCAAGTCGGCGGTCACTAGAGCTGCGTTAGGGTTTAGGGTTTGCGAGGCGGTTTTCTGTGTGATTTCCTTTTCGGTTATGGCCGCTGATAAAACTCAAGGCTGGAGTGGCGACTCTTGGGATCGGTACAAAGAATACAGGTTGGAATCTTATACCACTTCCCAATATTTTATTTTTTTCTCCCTTTCCTTCATCACCATATCCTTAAATTTTGTGAGATCAATTTTCACTCGGCAGATATGCCACAATAACATCAATGCCCTTTTAGTGAACCTGTCATCAGATTTGTGTTTTTACTGAAGTAAATGATGAGGAAGGAATTAAACGGGTGATACAAATTTTATACACGCTAGTCACGAGTACCTCAACAAACTACAAATTGCTTGTAGAGACTAATCTAATGTTATGAATTTAGATTAAACTCATTTGTATTTGAAAAATATATTCATTTCAAGCTAGTTAGGCAATGAACATTAGGTTGGAGTGTGTACCCCATGGAAATTAATGTATTCATTTCTGGCAATTTAGGTAGTGAGACTTTGAATGCCTACATTAAATTAACCTTAATTTTCCTTTATCCTAATGAAGCTTATTAGTTACATTGATATATTGGCATAAGCATAATCTGCATAGGTTGTCTTAGTGCATAAGGAACTCTAAAATCTGGACAGGGACTAAATGAAGCCTAGAAAAAACACACTTTTATAATGCGTGCTACCTTATTTTTTCACTCTTCTCTTCTAGTTTTTTGTAAGCCCTTTGATCTAAGATTTAATTGACCATATTGGTTCTCATTTTCATATAAATTGCTCTTTTATTTGATCAAACATCTCCCTCTCTCGATATATATACACATGCATACATACATGATTCTATATATTAATAAATATAGAATAAATTTAGCTTATCTCTGTGATAGATAATCGACTTATTTGTAATGTATATGAAGAATGGACATCACATCTGTCGTAATGGCTCAACTGGCAAAGCCTCAGCTCTACACTTGTAGTGCAAATGGATTAATATTTGCGGGCTCGATTTGAAGCCCTAAATGTAGCATTTTATTGTTCCTCTTGTTTTCTTAAGTACTTTCGAAAGTCTAATCCACCTTCCATTCCTCTATAAGAAGAGTGCGTGTTCCATATTTTTTCAAAGAAGAGTCTGCCCTTCGGGAACTTTTGTGTCTAAGTTAATACTTTTTTTTAATAGTACCTCCAACCTATTAAAATTAGGACCTGCAAAAGTACCACAATTATTAAGAAAACTGGAATTATGTGGTTGGTAAGAAATTGACAAATTGTAAAGTAAGAATGAAATAGAACCACACTACTATTACCAAGAATGGTATGGGAGAAAATTAGTGACACAGACAAACAAAGAAAGATTGAGCAAAAATAGTGGGACTGAGGGAGAAATAATCACTTGTAATAATTATTTATTTATTCATCACTATTAATTAATAATAAATATCTATTATTTAAAATAGTAATGAATAATTTAATATACTGCCTGGTTGGCACCTAGGCCACCTAAGCGCCTGAGTAGTGAGTAGACTACTGTCTAAGTCAAAATTGAGGCATCTGGCTTCCGCTTAGGTGTTGGCGAGCAAAAATAGTGGGATTGAGGGAGAAATAATCACTTGTAAATTTGTAATAATTATTTATTTATTCATTACTATTTATTAATAAAAATTATCTATTACGTAAATAGTAATGAATAATTTAATATACTGCTTGGTTGGCGCCTAGGCCACCTAAGTGCCTGACTGCCTGAGTAGACTGTCTAGGTCAAAATTGAGGCATCTGGTTTCCGCTTAGGTGTTGGCAAGTCAATTTTTGAAACACTTACATGTATTGCCACATGCTTCTTACATGATTAAAAGAATGAAACTTACCCTAAATGCTCATTGCCAATCTCTTTCAATTGTTTGCGTCTTCGTACACTTTGTGTCACCTATCGCATTTCTTTAGTTACTTATATTCTATATTACTTTGGATCTCATGTCTGGCAGGTATTGTTTGGCAGTGAATGTTATCGGATTTGTATATTCTGGATTTCAAGCTTTTAATGTATCCTACTATTTGGCCACCAAGAAACACTTCATCTCTCACCACCTGCGGCATCATTTTGATTTTGCCATTGATCAGGCAAGTTTTGTTTATCATCTTATATAAACTTCTATATATTATATTCCCTCAAGGCATTAATCTTGGTCTATTTATAAGTAAGTTGTATCTTCTTGCTAATATATAGGGTGAAAGTACTTCCATGCAGTTAGTTTGGAGACATACCTTAAATTATGTCTAATTAAATGATTATATCTTCGAACCTTTTGCAGTAATTTTAACCCTCCCTCCTGACTTCATCGGTAGTATATAGGGCTACAATACTTTCAAGCGACTAGTTTGGGGACATGCCATCATTGATGTCTACTTAAATCAACAATTTGTAGTGATTTTGACCCCCCTCATGCACAGGAGTTTGATTTCTTCCAAACTCTATTACTTCCTCCGTTCCGCTAAAATTGTCTCATCTTTCCCTTTGGTCTGTCCCATTAAGATTGTCTCGTACCAAATTTGGTAAAGTTTGTGTGGTAAGATTCTTACTTTATTCTTTCTTTACCAATTCAATATCAACCATATAACCCTACTTTTGTTAATGGGACGGAGGTAGTATTATATAGGCCACCCTGTTTCAAAGTGTCATTTCCCTCTTAGTTGATTACTTGATTTTCTCTACCCTGATCACTGCAATATTCTTAGCAGCTAATACTATGTGTCTATGAATCTTCAAGTATCATCCAAAATCTTTCTTACACTATTAATTTGACTAGACTGTGAAGAGCTAATAAACACTTATTATAATTGAAGATATAGTTTCTTGTGCTCAAATATTACTCTTTTTTCATGGGACATGAGGATTAAATGAAAGACAAACTCCTACAGGAATCACTCAGGTTACCTGTGATTAGAAGGGCACACACGTAAACTGGAGTCTTGTTGTTATAATCATTGCATGGTGCTTGAACCAAATAAGATGATATAGTTCGTACATGTGATGGATAATAAAGTTTAGAACCCTTTTGCCACCCCCACCAAACTTGTTTGAATGTGAAGTCATTTCTGGAAATAATCATTGTGCGTATATGCTGTCAATGCAGGTTTTGGCATACCTTTTGATGTCGGCATCGTCTTCGTCTGCAACAAGGGTTGATGACTGGGTATCAAATTGGGGGAAAGATGAATTCACAGAAATGGCGATTGCATCAATCGCCATGTCCTTCCTGGCTTTCGCTGCCTTTGCTTTGAGTTCTCTTTTGTCTGGTTACAACCTCTGCAACCGCGTATCGTAATCCTTTACTCCGGAAGATCCAATGTGTATATGTATATATATGTGTGTATACACACACACACATATATTATTGAAACATGACATTTCATTTATAAAAAAGATGCAACTAATGCCAACTTTATAGATGACTTATTTCCTCATATAAGTCTGTCACGGCAGTATCAATGTTTTCTTTCACTTCCAGTATCAATGTTTTCTTTGTTTTCATCACTATTTCCAATGAAGCCAAAGAGTCACTATTTTTTGGCTTGAGAATATGATGGTATAAAGCAAAATGACTCATTAAGCTGTCTGCGCTTCTTTATTATGAAGCAAGAGTCAATCCATGCAATTTTTATGCAATTTTCATCATGGGTCATCCGAAACATTCTCTATGTACTTTAGTACAAAGGTACGGCCGCGTACATTTGACCCCCTTACCTCATTATAGGTGAAAGCCTTTGTGGCACTCATTATTGTCGTCGTATGTTGTACATATAGACTCATTGTTCAGTGGTTTATTTTTCCTATATAATAAAAAGCAATATACAATTGTTGTTTTAGGGATGGCTGGATGGGGATAATACAAAGACAGTAACATTAATATCACTTTGGAGATGCATGAACAAAGCATTATCCCAGTCCCCATATATGTAAATAATGTAAGGCCCCGTTTACTTACGACTGAATGGGTTGAATGGAAATCAGGACTTATTCGCTCAGCTATATCATTGTGTTTATTTGTGACTTAAATGATATTGTGACTTATTCAGTCAGACCATATCTGACTTTATGATTTAGCCCAATTTTAATACTCCTCAGGGTTCAGACATCTCCGCATATGACCATCTCGGTATTTCTTCGCTTCATCTCCGCATATGACTTCTTCCTTCAATGGATTTGTGGATTTAACTTCAGATTTTAGGCGTTTTTTAGTCGAAATCATCTCCTAAGTTCACTTCCGACCTTGGATTTGAGTTTGGAATGAGTTCTTACGGCTAAAAAATCCAAGAAATGAGCTGATTTCTCCTCTGCGGAATTGTTCACTGACGGACTGTTTTTTGATTTCTGGTGTTCATTGGCTATGGCTATGAGAAATCTGAAAATACAGTGATGATCGTCTTCCTGTCTTCCCTAGGATAACAACATACTGAAATTTCAGAATTTTTCGATCTGTTTTGCAATCAGTCACAAATGTTCATGGACGGACTGTATTTTTAATTCTAGTGTTGATTGGCTGGGGCTATGAAAAATCTAAAGATACAGGGATGATCGTCTTCTCTAGACGAACAACATATTAAATTTTCAGATTTTTTGGAGCTGTTTTGCTTTGGAACGCTATTGTTCATTCTTGGAGCTTTTTTGGAGCTATTTTGCGCAAATATAATTCAGACTTCTCATTCAGCACACATAGTAAATAGCTTGTTATTTCAGTGTCACTTAATCCAGACTAGGAATGGACTCGGGCCGGTTCGGGCCCGGTTCAAGCCTGGGCCCGGCCGGGCCTCAGTTCTAGGAAGGCAGGCCCGGAACCGGCCCGGATAACCCCGGGTCCGGTTCGGTTCGGGTCACCCGCCCGGTTCACGGGCCGGGCCGCCCGGCGGGCCGGGCCGGGCCTATTTAATTTTTTTTTAATTATTATATAATTAGAATAAATCTTATTACAATTACAATATATTATATTCGAATTGAAGTATATTTATTTCAAATAAGAAGTACAATTGAGAATTAGGATGAATTTAAAAAATGTAATACATTTTGTAATAAAAAATCAATCGGACTCTCCGCCTTCGGTTGTTTCCTCCATAAAGTGGCGGGAGGGAGTGATGGTAATTTCTTGAGTTCTTCGTTGGGCCTTCAACCAATCGTGAAAGCAAACTAGTGTCTCAAGAGAGCTCGGGCTCAACCTCGTTCTAAAATCGGTTAGGACGTTGCCGGCCGCACTGAATTCTTGTTCCACGGCAACGGTTGATATCGGCATTGCTAGTACTTGCTTAGCCATCTTTGATAAAATCGGGAATGTTCTTTCATTTTCCTTCCACCACTTAAGAACGTCAAAGTCATCACCAACTTCATAATCAACATTCAATGTTAGATACAAAGAAAGCTCGTTACCTGAGCTTTGTTCAGTAGCGGGAGTTGCTCTACTTTTTTTCAATAGAGAACCAAAAGCGGATTTTAAAAGTGATTTTCCTTTAGATGAAGAAGATGTTCGTTGCATGGGAGGGGGTGCATTACCATATTGTGCATGAAATTCATTATACAATTGATGAAATAAATTACTAACCTCGTTGAATTCTTGTTTAGGGTCGATGGGATTATCATCGAACTCTTGAGTTGGAAAAAAAGAAGCATAATAGTAATCTATACAATTTGCCAAGTAAGGAAGTTTATAACGAGGATCAAGAACAAATGCAATACCCACATCTACAGAATGTCTACCTCGCTCCATCTTTAAAATTGAACAAATATTAGCAATTAACTAATATGAGAAATGTAAAAATTAACTAGTTTTGTTATTTTAATGAGATATGTAGCAATTAACTAATATGAGAAATGTAAAAATTAACTAGTTTTTTTTACTTTAATGAGATATGTAGCAATTAACTAATATGAGAAATGTAAAATTGTAGCAATTAACTAATTAACTAATATGAGAAATGTAAAAATTAACTAGATTTTTTTTACGTTAATGAGATATGTAGCAATTAACTAATATGAGAAATGTAAAATTGTAGCAATTAACTAATTAACTAATATGAGAAATGTAAAAATGTAGCAATTAACTAATTAACTAATATGAGAAATGCACAAATGTAGCAATTAACTAATATGAGAAATGTAAAATTGTAGCAATTAACTAATTAACTAATATGAGAAATGTAAAAATGTAGCAATTAACTAATTAACTAATATGAGAAATGCACAAATGTAGCAATTAACTAATATGAGAAATGTAAAAATGTAGCAATTAACTAATTAACTAATATGAGAAATGTAAAAATGTAGCAATTAACTAATTAACTAATATGAGAAATGTAAAAATGTAGCAATTAACTAATTAACTAATATGAGAAATGTACAAATGTAGCAACTAACTAATATGAGAAATGTAAAAATGTAGCAATTAACTAATTAACTAATATGAGAAATGTAACAAATAAGTAGTTTAACTAATATTAATATGACAAATGAAACAATTAACTTTAACTACTTTAACTAATATTAATATGACAAATGAAACAATTAAGTAATTAAATAGATAAACGAGAAGTGTATATATAAATCAAATGTATAACTATATATAGTATATATAAATATATAATGTGTAAATATATTATAAGTAATATATAATATAATGTATAACTATATTATAAGTAATATATAATATAATGTATAACTATATATAGTATATATAAATATATAATGTGTAAATATATTATAAGTAATATATAATATAATGTATAACAATATATAGTATATAATATAATGCGTAAAGAATTATAATATGAATGTGTATAAGTATATATTTATAAGTAGATAATTAATATTATAATATATAAGTAGATATAATAATTATATAAATTATATATATGTAGAAAGAATTTGGAGAAGATGAAGAATGAAGATGATTGAATATGAGAGATTAAGAGAATACAGAATTTAGATTTTAGAGAGTAGAAAGAGTTGTAGAAGAAGAGGTGTAAAAAATGTATAGAAAATAGGAGTATAAATAGGTTTTTTTTTGTATACCCCACCCCCACCCCCACCCCACCCCCCCCTAACCCCCCAGACCCCCCCTCCTATGCTCCCAACGGCTATAGAGCCGTTTGGGAGGTCTCACAACGGCTAGTAGAGCCTTCAAATTTTTTTAATTTTTTTTTTTTTTTTTTGTGACCGTTGAGGGCCGGGCCGGTTCACCAAATTATAAGCCCGGGCCCGAACCGCTACATGACCAGGCCGGGTGGCCCGAACCGTGACCTAACCGACAAACCGGGCCGGTCCGGGCCCGCACAGTAGCGGGCCGGTCCGGTTCCGGGCCGATTGGCCCGGCCCGAGTCCACCACTAATCCAGACAGACGTCTTAATTTAGACAGACGTCTTAATCCATTCATAACTTAATGAAAAAAGTAAACAGCCCCTAAATATAATATGTAAGGAACTAACCGGTATAGTTGACTACATACGTTTGGACTAGTGGTGGAGCTGGTTTTACCAGATCATAGTTGACTGCAGAACACTAGACAATGTACCTGAAACTGGTCAACCCAGGAGTGGTTTCGGTTAGCACCCCGTGCAACAAAATCTTGGTGAACCTTTTAGTAATATCGGAGAAGAACTTCCCCAATCCCGCTTAGCACCCCGTGCAACAAAATCTCCAGATTCATTTCGAGTCCTGAATTTCCCCAAACTACATCAACGTTCAGTTTTCTCCAACCAGCTTTAATTAGGGCATTTCCAAATCCGTTGTGAAAGCCTTCCTCGATCGACAGACTTATATGAAATATTAATTTATATATTATGTATTGTTCAATTGTGAATACTGTAATATATATAATACGTAGTATAATAATGACTTCATATATAGAAAAGTTTAACATTGATGTACCCGAGAGATCAAGTTGTTCTGTTATTAAACATGGTCTCATTTAATTTTATGCATTAAAACATGTTAATTTTCATATGGGTTTTTTGTTTGACAATATTTTCATGTGGGTTATGTGTATTTATAGTTTTGTGTTGGTCCCAGTCTGTTTTTATTTTATATTTTGTAAAAAATGATATATTATAAATAAACATGCATGCATTATATTGGCATGAACCTATTTAATAGAGTTAGTTAAATACTACTACTACTAATACTACCTCCGTCCCTTAAAACTTTGTCAAAGTTGATCGGCACGGAGAATAAAAAAGTAAAAACTGTGTGGTTGAAATTTGTGCATAGGAGAGAGAAATAATAGAAATCACAAAATAAATGATTAAAAGAGAAAGTGACAAATTTTTTTGGGACGTCTTAAAAAGGAAAGATGACAAAGTTTTAAAGGACGGAGGAAGTATTTAACAACAAATGTTCCATGACCCACCACAATGGCTATACTCTATTTTAGGGGTGCATTTGGGTCGGTTCTATTCCGATTCCGGGCCGAGAGCTCCCGGTCCTAGAAACTTTTTTATGCAACCTGTGATCGACCAACCTGCTTTTTTCGGGTCTAGCCTGATTCGGATACCCAAGCTGTCCGATTCTTGTCTTGGACCCAGACTCGTTGTATTTTTTTGTTTTTACAAAGTTTCAAACTTAAAAAAATTAGCCGGTCCGGGACCAGAATCGTCCAGTTCGGTCCCCAAATAGGTGAACCCGGATTGGGTACCACTCTTGGACGGACAGGGTCGGTTCCAGACAAGAAACCGAAAACTCCGGACCCGATCCAGTTCTAAACAGTGACGGACCCGGTTCTGGGCTGGGCCGGATCGCCGGGCCGGGTCCACTACTATATTTGAATTGAGAATTCAAAACGTAACAAGCAACGACTAATTTGGTGAGCAAATGCATTTCAAAAAAATACAAAGTAATTCATAATAATAATAATAATAATAATAATAATAATAATAATAATAATAATAATAATAATAATAACTAAATGTACAAATGTATTGAAAAAGAAAGTCATTTATTGAAGGTATCATACTATCATTGACCTCTTTGATGTTTGATGTGTAATGTGTTATCACATATACCCTTAAACTATTGAAAATATTCTTTCACCCCAATCCAATAATTCAATAATGATGATTAGTTGGTTAAATAACTTCTCATTTATATTAGATAAAATTTAGTTCTTTAACTTTTGGTTGTGTCCGCTTTTAGTCTTGTATCTTTACTCATTTACTCATTTGCAGATATGATTCAATATATGAAGAAGCTTGTTCACAATAAAGACCTTTTCACTATAAAGTACACTTTTTAACAAAAAAATTTGACTCTGATGTTTTTTTCTAGTATATTTTTTACCGAAAAGCGTACTTTCTTGTGCAATAGTCCTTAATATGGATAGATTTATTAGTAGCAAAAACAAATCTACATGTAAGTCAAGTTGCACAATCGAAAATTACATAACTTAAATAATAAATTTCTCTAACTTTTAAAAGTTCAAAAGTATCTCTCAAATTGTAGAACTCTTGTTGGAATGTACATCTCCCTTCAGAGATTTCTCATTCTCACATGTACACAGATTATTAGATTTAGTCGTCTCTGAAAACTCATCTACCCTTATTATAATTTTCCTTCAATGTGTACCTTTTGACATGCTATCAACCGGATAGTTCTTGTTCTGCTTACACCAACTGTTCAATTCAAATCTTGGAGCTTAGATTTCTCAACTCATGATCAATTCCACAAATTTCCCACCTCTTTTTCCAATAAATATTTGAAAAAATGTCCCATCTTCTAGACAAATAATAATCATTTCTCTCGGGACCAATCACCAGTCCTCCCACCACTTTTCCGTTCAAGCTTTACATTTGTAATCCGGATGTCTTTTGAAGCTGCTTTGCACATGTCATATACCGTCAGGCCAGCCACAGTCACTGCCGTCAAGGCCTCCATCTCCACTCCGGTCTGTCCGCACGTGGCCACTTCCCCTTCTATCTCAACACTCGAATCTTCAGGGTTCAAAGTCAAACCCACTCGGACATGCGTCAAGTTAATATTGTGGCACAGTGGGATGATTCTGCTCGTCTCCTTTGCCCCGCAGATTCCAGCTATCTTAGCCACACCAAGAACGTCTCCTTTCCCCATCTCGTTGGCTGAAACAAGGTTGAACACTTTCCTTCCCAAAATGACCTTGCAGCTAGCAACTGCCACTCTATTGGTAACCTCTTTACTGGATACGTCTACCATTTTGGCCTCACCTGAGCTGCCAATGTGAGTCAACCTTAAGTCATTTTCTTGGACATCTGGTGGGAGAGAGACAGACTCTATTGTAACATCCTGGTTTCCGGCATGGCCTGAAAGACTAGGCGGGGGAGGTTCACCAAATATGGATTCCATTTCCTGAGAATAGCAGCACACAGACACCAATGAGCATCTATCCGGAATTACTTCAATTGCATTGTATATTAAAAACATCAAAAGATGCAAGACCATATGCTTTAAACAATGTATGATCATGTCAAGGCAATGATATGATGCTGTGATCGAAAGAAGATAACCCATTTATAAGAATCATAGAATACTAAGCCTCCTTCGCGCACGCACTCCTATCTTTATTGCAATCTATCTAATGATTCTTATCTACTGCAACGGTGCAATGTGCCAGTCATCTCTACCACAGTGCATCTCATACAGCCACTTGAATGTTTGCATCGTAATTTGTAGAACTTTTTCTTTCATTCTGGCTCATGGTTTCATGGAGTAAATATGGGAGGCCAATCTGGACCCCTGCCTATCACAAGTTCAATAGATGTTTTTTCATGTGTAAAATTTATGTTTCAATTTTAAATAGACAGGTTATTTTTTCCGGGCACCACAAATTCAAACTTTTTCAGTGTATGCCACTGAATTGCCTATTATCTAGTGATTATGCTTTATGCTAAACCCAAGGTAGTCAAAAGCGAGCACCTGGGCTGATGAGAATACTATAGACCGCTTACAATCACAAGGAGACCTAAGGGAAGACCCTTTACAAATTCAAGACGGTCCATTGACAAGAGCTCGTGTTAGGCGTTTCCAAGAGGCTGTTTGTGCTTGGATAGAGAACTCTAAAAGAAGTGAGACTTTAACCACGTCCCAGGGGGTTGACGAAGGAGCCATGGTTCACTTAGTGGGTTTAATTGATCCAATCAATTAAACAAACAAAAAAACACTCCAACGTTGTTAACTTGGGCAGAATGGCAAAATTGGCATTTTCAGAATGTGGACTTGTATCCAGCCATTAAGTCATTTTTTTCCAGCCTATTATGTTTCTTTTTATCTAATTGTTTTCTGTTTTAGTGCAGCTGGACCGATCTACTAGGGTAGAGTTAAATTTAGAATTAAATTAAAGAGCAGGATAGCCACAAAGTTCACCCACGATCCACTTTTGTAGCTAGTGGCTATCTTAGTTGGAAATGGGATTGAGTTGTTCACCCCACGTTTTCGTCTTCTTTTCCATGTTTCCAGATTTCAGTCCATGTTCTTTATGTAGAATAGATAGTATTTATAGACTAGAGAGACAATGAATAGGGCAGTATCTTTACACCAGAAAATGAAAGCAGTTTGTTTTCAATCTCATGTGTTATATTGAGTTCAATTGAGTTGTGTGACTTATCAATTTGATTGTGGCGTCCATAGCTCATTTCTCTTATCTTTCATTCCTCTGAAAGTGGCGAGAACCCATAATTCCCTTCCCTTTCGTTTTCTGAAACTAATAAGCTTCCCAGAACCAATACCGGCTAGACGCAACCAACAAAAACACCATTTTCAATCTTTCTTTTGTGAGGAGTCTTGGGCAAACTTTCTGTTGTAATCCACTCCCAAAGAACAGTCCGCTGAGGGTGGAATTCGTATCATTAATTTGGTATCAGAGCTTCGGCTTCATCCTCACAGAGAATTCAATTTTCCAGTCCATTCCTGCAAATCACTAGCATCAATAATAGTGAAATTTCACGTTGGTTGTGTGTGTCTCTTAATGTCTTATTGCCTATAGTCTTGAAACTCCTTTTCAATATTCAACCCTTCCAATCTGTATATCTGTGTTGTTCTCATCTCTTTCGATTGTTGCTGAATAGACAAAACAAAAACAAAAAAAAAAAAAGAAAAAAAAATGAAAAAAAAAGCAAAACAAACTAAGTACCCTCTGTGCCAGAAACACCTAACCCTACCCACCGCCACTTTGTTCTGAGCAACGGGCATCATAACATGTTGATAAAAGTCATATACACTTTGTATAACACTAGTAGTGAGAAAACAAAATTGCTTGTGAGCATATTTTGGGAGCACTCTAGAGAGCCTATACACGAGCGGGAAAAAATAAAATTTGGAGTGAGCACCAGTAAAGCGAGAGTGGAAAGGGAGTGACTGTGAGACTAAATTTTATTTTCACTAACTTGTTTTTGCAGGACTAAGTTATGGTTGAATCAAGCAACACCGAGGGCACTCCAGACCTCAATGTTGCCTTGAGGAATATAACTAAGCAACTTGAAAGGTTTGGGATGATGTTTGGGGACATAAGAGATCGAATGGGGAGACAAGAAGTAGAACTGGCGGATTTAAGAGGGAGATGGATGGGGGCAAAATCGTGAAAGACAAGAGAGTGAGGAAGATGAAGAGGAAGGTGCCGAGAGTGAAGGGGAGACAGAAAATGCTTCAACAAGACCGGGACGAAGGAGAAGAAATCACAGAAGGGACAACCATGATAGGGAAAGACGCGATGAGCACGTAGGGAGTATCAAGATGTCTATACCCTCTTTCCATGGTAAGAATGATCCAGAAGCTTACTTAGAGTGGGAAAAGAGAGTTGAGAAGGTGTTTAACTGCCATAGTTATTCTGAGAAGAAGAAGGTGAATTTAGCTGTAGTTGAATTCAAAGACTACGCTAACACATGGTGGGACAAATTAGCGGCAAGTAGGAGGAGAAACGGGGAGAGACCTGTGAATAGTTGGGAGGAGATGAAGACTCTGATGAAGAAACGATTTGTACCTGCGTGGTACCACAGAGAGTTGTACCAGAAGTTGCAAGGTTTGGTACAAGGATCTAAGAGTGTCAGGGATTATGACCAAGAATTAGAGACTCTCATGGCAAGGTTAGGACTAGAAGAAGATGAAGAAGCAACCATGGCTAGATTTCTCAAGGGCCTAAACCCAGACATAGCCGGTGAGGTGGAGAGATCACACTGTTGATTATGATGAGCTCTTCCAACTAGCTGAGAAAGTAGAGAGGCAACTAAAGAGGAGGAAAGACAAACAGAATATGAGTTCTGACCGCTGGAAATCAAACTGGGAGAAAAAGGAAATGAAGGTTGGGAACAAATCCAAAGCTGAGCCCACGTTGGACAGGAACGTCGGGGAACCAAAGGGAAAAGAAAAGGTGGATACTACTACTAACAAGAAACGAAATGTCAAATGTTTTAAGTGCTTGGGATTTGGACATTATGCATCCGAGTGTCCCAATAAGAGGGTAATGTCCTTACTGCCAACTGGAGAAATACAGTCCGACACTGAAGCGGAAGAACCACGAGACGAGGACAGCAGAGGGTGAGGCCCTAGTAACTAGAAGAGTCCTTAGTGCTAAATACAAGGCTGACGAGGAGCAAAGGGAGAACATCTTCCACACCCGCTGTATTGTGAAATGGAAGGTGTGCAATCTAATCATAGATGGAGGCAGCTGCACCAATGTGGCTAGTACCGAGATGGTAAGCAAGTTGGGGCTTAAAACAAGCAAGCATTATGCCCCGTGCACCCTTCAATGGCTCAACAATTCAGGAAAGATCAAGGTGGATCAACAAGTGATGGTGCCATTCGCAATTGGGAGGTATGAAGACCAAGTACTATGTGACGTGGTACCAATGGAGGCTGCACACATGCTATTAGGAAGGCCTTGGCAGTTTGACAAACAAACCATCCATGATGGCCACACTAACAAGGTTTCATTCACTCACAAGGGCCGGAAAATTACTCTAGTGCCATTGAGTCCTAGCCAGCTCCTAGATGAGCAAAGAAAAAAAATAAAGGAAAAAAGAAGAAAAAAATGACAGAATAGAAAAAGAGGAAAGTGAGAGAGAAAAGCTGAGAGAGAAAAAACAGGAAAAGAGGGGGGGGGGGGGGGGGAAGGAAGTGAGTTTGATTTGTAAGAAGAGGGTTGTTGAGAAGGCTTTGAAAGCAGGGAGGCCCGTGTACCTTGCCCTTTTTAAGGGAGAAAACTCCAAACTGACTAATCTCGAGCAATTGCCCGAGGCTATTACTTCTTTGTTGCAGGAATATCGTGGGCTTTTTCCAAAAGAGATACCAAAAGGATTACCACCAGTAAGGGGAATAGAGCATCAGATTGACCTTGTTCCAGGAGCTCCTCTTCCAAATCATCCCGCTTATAGATGTAACCCGGAGGAAACAAAGGAAATACAAAGGCAAGTGGAGGAATTACTGGCAAAAGGGCATGTGCAGGAAAGCTTGAGTCCATGTGCAGTACCAGTCTTATTGGTGCCGAAGAAAGATGGGAGCTGGAGAATGTGTATAGACTGCCACGCTATCAACAAAATCATGGTAAAGTACCGGTTTCCTATTCCTCGTTTAGATGACATGCTGGATGAACTACATGGATCTAATATGTTCTGTAAGGTAGACCTAAAATCTGGATATCATCAAATACGTATTCGTGAGGGTGATGAATGGAAAACGGCCTTTAAGACTAAGCAGGGTCTTTACGAATGGCTTGTGATGCCATTTGGCCTCACCAATGCACCTAGCACCTTTATGCGTTTGATGAATCATATACTACGAGAACATATTGGTAAATTCATTGTAGTTTACTTTGATGATATATTAGTATATAGCAAAAGTGTGGAGGAGCATGTTGATCATTTGCGTGCCTTGTTTGATGTTTTGATTGAGAATAAGCTATATGCTAATATGGAGAAGTGTGAATTCTGCACCACATCTGTTAACTTCCTAGGGTATATTGTTAGTGCCCAAGAAATTAAAGCAGATAGTGTTAAAATAAAAGCCATTCAAGAATGGCCTACCCCAAAATCAGTTAGTGAGGTACGAAGTTTTCATGGGTTAGCTAGTTTGTACAGGAGGTTTGTTAGGGACTTTAGCTCAATCGCTGCACCACTAACTGAAATTGTCAAAAAAGATGTAGGATTTAATTGAGGTAAACGTGATAAGTACAGGCAAATATGGCGATGAATTGATGAAATTGAACACTGAAATTGAAGAAGTGAAAAGAAACGATACAGTTGAAGGCAAATTCGAGAGTGCCCTCGGTCTCTCCCAGGTCCCAGTTCAGATCCAAGTTCTGCCTGCCCCTATTCTACTCCCCCAACACCTATTTATTCTTTTCCATTTGGGCTAGCCCA